GTTCTGGTGTAGTGTGTGGGGTAGTTGAGTATTTGTAGCTGTGAGATCAGCTTTTTGTCCTTTTCAGGAGATTGGGTGATAATGGTGATCAGGGTATTTTTTTTTGTTATGGGGGTATTGTTGTGATAAGGGGGGAGATGATCTGTCACTGTGATTGATGGGTCTTGTTAGCTAGTCTTTTGTGTGCAGTGATCACCGGTCATTGTAGCAGAAACCATGACAGTGTATACCAACCCACTCAGGCTTCCCTGTTCCTGCCTGAGCTTAGCTGCAATCTTCAGTGCCACTAGGAAAGTAATGGATTGTCCTTAGAACATTATATTGCTTCAAGCTATTTCTGTTGTAATGCAAAAATTTGATTTAGTCTTGAATGGGCTAGGACCCGTTAACTTTACAGAAAGCTGGCCAGATAGCCCAGTGGTTTAGGTATCTGGCTGCAGAGCCAGAGGTGGGGAGTTCAATTCCCAACTGTGGCTTCTGCAAGTACAGCCAGCCTATGTGGCCATGGGCAAGCTGCACAGTCCCAGGGCACCCTGAGAAGAAGGGAATGGCAAGCGACCTCTGAGTATTCTCTACCTGGAAAACTCTGAAAAGGGTCACCATAAGTCAGAATTGAATTGATGGCACGTGATTATTATTAACTTTTCAGGAGATCTGCTCCTCAGTTGTTGATCTCTAACAACCTACTTGTCTGTATTTTTGAATTATCATTATGGAAGTGGGCTAACTATGAGGACTGTCATGATGAGCACGAGGGGTGTACTCTTTTGTGGTTTTGGACTACAATTCCCACAATTCTCCAAGAATTTGAGGAATTACAGCTCACAAACCTAAATATGCAAACCTGTAGGTTTGGGCTCACTTGAGAAGGGCGCCACCAGCTTCTCCAGCATTTCCTTCATATTGTTAATTTGCTTTTGTGGTGTTTTTTGTTTTTTTTGTAAACAAGCTGCCGTGGTGCTTCCTTGGAGACTTGCTGCCCATTAGGCTTTACAGAGGGCACCTCCAAAAGATCTATGACTCCCAGGAACCACCACAGCAGCTTCATTTTTTTAAAGAAATCAGCAACAGGAAGCAGGGGTCAGAGAAGCTGATGGTGCAGGTAAATAACTCAAAAGTCCTTGTTGATAGATTTGGGTTTAGGGATAGCAGTCAAGAAAGATGAAATGTCACACCTCCTAATGAGCGCCTCTAATTCCACATTTATTCTGATGTTACCAATTACAAGTAGTATTACTGTTACTCTTATTACTAGTGTTACCACTCATTATTAGAAGAGTATTGTTTAAATAACATTCTTAAATAATTCTTAAATTATTTTCAGTGAACACATAAAATACCCCAAATGGCAAAAAGTCCCGCCAGATAACACCCCCCATGCAAAATTTTAAGTTACACTTTAAAAAGTGATAATGTCACAGGTTGCATATCTTCAGTTCGTTTGTTTTAGAAAATGGATAATTCCCTCTCAGTCACCAAAAGAAATACATTACTGATGGCATTGCTATTTATGATCAGAGCTTGGAATGTTACTTTTGAAAAGGAACTCATATTGAGTTACTGTATGAGCCTTCCGAATGGTCATCATCATTGCTCCAGTTTGGAAGGCAGTTCTTTTGTGTTCATATTTCTTATAATTTGCTATTGCTAAGCTCTCCTTGTAAGATATTTCTTCACAGCTCTGATGCAGCCATAGGTCCACCAGTTTAAATGGCCATGTGTTGTTCACTTATGGTGGCATTTGTCATACTTTTTTCACACTGAAACAGCATAAATTCCAAGTCTGATTTCATCACTAACTTCTACAATGTTTTAGGGGAAAATGCAGAACTTTCACACAGGTATCAACACATTGGTGACATCTCTGCAGCCAAGAAGAAAGGCACACAACAGTATTCTGAATAACTGTGTTTTGGCCACAGTTTTGTCACATTTCGCCTTGTGTAGTTCTAGGGACCAGACTAGATTCCCTGAAGAAAATTGTATGCTTGAGTGTGTTGCTAAGTGAAACCTGTTTTCACCTCAAGCTTAAGCTGAAATTTTCAGAAAATGTAAAGACTTCCACAGGAAGTAGATGTGGACAGTGCTGCATGTCTTAATCACCTCTGTCAACAGAGGGCCCTGAGTTCAGTTTGCTAAAGTGCCCTATCCTGCCCACTTCTCTCTGTTAAGATTCTGTAATTCCTTGTGAGACCCTCAGTTGGGACAACCTTTAATGACCTGCAAACTTGAAAGTTGGCTGCTGGCATGGGGAAAATCTCCAAGAATACCAAGTGTTTCATGATGGATGAATCCCCCCTGTCCAAGGGTGTGTGGCTCTGGACACCATTGGCATGTCAAAATATGCCTAACGTATGTTCCCCGTGCTGTATATCACTTAACCTTCAACTCCCTACCCAGAATCAAAACGTCCCTCCAAAATGAAACAATGAAAAGTCCTGTGTCACTTAATGACTTAGGAGTTCTGCTGGTCATAAGTCTTCAGGGACTGCAGCCCATTCTGTTAGATGCATGGTGTAAAGCGCTGAAGACTGACTTTTATACACAGTTGGGTAGGGAGACTGTGTTGAATACGGTAGAAATCAAAATGCAAAATGGAACAGTATGGTGATTACTTTTGTAGTAGTTCAGCTTCATTGGTACATTATAGGAAGGCCCAAGCAAAGATTAGCTGATTAACAAATGATGAAGAAAAGTTTTTGTTCAAGTTAACTGAGGGTTACACTATTAAAATAGATCAGGAACGGGATTTTTGAAATTGGTTTAAATTCACATGCTAGTCATGTGTTTTTGAGGTAGCGTGTGCATCCTCTTGGGACAATTTTTAATCCAAGTGTAAGATATGTGGTGTAGTGGTTCAGGGGATTACACAGACTTGTAAAAATTGTTTTAAAATTGGCACCATGGGAACCTCAGCTTCCTGTGTTCCACCCTCCTGGGGCTATGCATTCCCGGAGTGAAATGTCTGCACCAAAAAACTAAAATAAAACCTTGTGCTGTCATAGCTATGGGGAGACACTCTGGCTGCTGGCACATCATCCTAGAGCCACTTCTGAGGTCTTTGCCTTGTGCCCACTCATCCTGCTTGCTGCCACTCCTACCTCACTTCCTATGTTGAGGTGATGTGGGTGATGGTGACAAAAGTCATGTTCTTCTGCTGTGGTGTGATTTTTTATTTTCTTAAAAATTTTAAATTCAGGCTGGGATAGCGCTAGCTCAGTATTACAGATTTTTTAAAAAACCTTTCTGCTCCTCTTTTTCTCCCACCTTTCTTGTTCAGAAGCCAGCTGCCCCAGCTCCTCCACTCCCCTGGAGGAAGAGCAGGCAGGCCAGACAGGGTTAAAGTGAGTTTTTTTTGGTCCCTCCTCATGTTTTACTATTTGTTTTATTTTATTTTCAAATTGGGATATTGCTAGATCAGTGTTGTAGATAGAAAAATAGTCTATCTACAACACTGATCTAACACTGCGAAGTTACCCTCCAGCCCAGAAACCCACAATCCTAGGATCCAATTTAATACTTGACAAACCCCACAAAAACAATTTACTCTGACACAGATGAGCACACATGCAAAATATGATTCAATAAATGTTCATAATCAAGTTAAAATAAACAATCCCCTAGTGGGTCTTTTTATATAAAAAAATTCACTTCCCAAAGAAACAAAAAAAAAAACTCCCCCCCCCAATGCACGCTCATGATGTAGACAGATGTTTATAAATCAGTTTCAACCCTGCTAAACCCAAAGCAAACCCAGCAGTATTTTGATGTGTAACTGTGCCCTGAAAGAAAAGAATTTATCCTCCAGATATGGACCAGTTGGGGAGCGGGGTTTGGAACAACACTGCTGAAGGGAATAGGAAATGCAAAAAATACAAGTACTGTAGAGGAAATTGGTCAAATTGTTATAAAGTAGTGGTCATAAAACATATAAAAGTTGCACAATAATATCAACAACTTCACGTGATGAAGGTAGTGAAATTAAAAAGAGGTCTTGTCCTGGATCAAGCCACAGGAGATTGAGTTCAATTTTTTTAATGTAATCCTGTTTGGACAATTTTCTCCCCTTGTAATTTTTGCATTGTTCCTTCAGGTATGCGAGTAATAGGGTATGTAGGGTTTTGAAGGTAAGCACCAGCACCTGGAATTGTGCTTGTAAGCTGCCTATATGTTCTTCAAACATTGGCATAACATATTTGCTTTTGCCTAGTTTGAAAAGTTAGCGGCCTAGCACCTATATTGTGCATGCAAAAGGCAGCTCCATATTTGCATTCAGTAGTCTAGCTTGGAGGTTACCTTTTCATGGACAACCACATTTCAGGTGTTGCTCTGTTCGGGTCCTCTTGTCTTAATATGTTTAGGAGTCAGTCACTTATTTCTGCAGCCTGCTTCAAAGCCTTTCGATGGAAGAAAAATTAAATTTCACTGGAATAAAACCAGTGAAACTGTAATTAGCTATGTTCAGCAAACTACAACAATTAGACACATTTTGGGTGCTGAAATAGATTAAATCCTCCACCAGATTATAGCAGAAAAGCATAAATAAAAGATATATTTTTATTTTATTGGGAAGGAATAGAACTCCTGCATTACCTATGAAAGTGATCATTTATGCTAGAAATGCATGGCACATTGCTGGGTGTTTTTGTTTTGTTTTATTTTGTTTTTGTATCATGAAAGGTTGATTCCTGCTTGATTTATTTTTGCCAGTCACTGACCTGACAAATTCTAGAACTTCATAACATGGTTTTTGTACACATCCAGCCGAAAGTGTTTTAGTCATCTGCTCTTTCCCAACCACCACACCCTCCACTAGACTATTGAATGGTAATAAAAGCACAGTGATTCTGCATTTTGCTTGTTTTGATCCAATTATCTGGCACAGAGCTTCTGATGTCTATTGTTTGGGTGCTAAGTTAGGAACTCTGCTGCCTAAGCAGTGAATCCTCTGGGGTCCATAAGGCTGAATCTAACTGTATTTCCTGTTCTCCGACAACCAGATGCAGTAAATTACATTTACTCCCAGATCCCCGAACTCACAACCCTCTATTCACGAACAACAGAACCAATTGCTGGGAAAGACAGGACAAGCAGGGTGACTGGTAAGTTTCATTGGAGCACCCTTTATTCTTTGAGCTGTCAGAGCAGACTTTAACTTTTTCAAACCTAATAGATGTCTTGGCACTATTGCCCAGCTGTAGTTTAAACACAAGGAAACAGTTTGTGACTTGTGAGCAAACTAAAGAGAGCTTTCTTGGTCTTGTGCATATACTATATATGATAGGACAAACAGGATGGTTAAGGCTAAAGTACTTCTTTCATCCTTTATTATTTTGCAGTCACAAATCTAAGTTAAAACAATTAGCAATCAGAAGTGAGGTTTGACCTTATTCTAGAATAAGTTGCTAGGAGCTTCTGAATGCAGTCTGCAAAAAGAAGTTTGCAAAAAAAAAAACATGGACATGCAGATGTCCAGCTCTTCTAAGACGTGGAATCCAGGTTAGACCTGATGCTCAAAAGCACTTGGGATAACAAGGTTTCATTGGCTGGCAGCTGGGACCACAACAGTACAAATAATTCGGCAATAATCCAAAACTATACAATGTAACTGTGATGCATTCAGGAAGACAACCAAACATATATCATTCACAATGTGATAGCCTTCCAGTGTCCCTTTTTAAAGCAAACAAAGATTACTGGATGTTTATTTATATGAGACTAGTCCTTTTCTGATATGCAAGCAGAACAGTAAGCCTCTGTTAGAGATTCTCCATGTAATTCTCTTGTTTTGAGGCAAATCAGAATGTCTCTGTGGTCTTTCCACACACGGAAGAAACTGGGACAAAAGTGCCTGGGTGGTAGTTGCTCGCATGGTTCCTACATCTTAGATCCTCTGGAATGCAACCGAGTACTCTTGTTTACAGCCCTTCTTCTGCATCGCCTCTTCAGAACATAACTTTATAGAAAGTCCAATGAGATGTAGGGGGGAAAAACCTGTGGAAAGGGTGGAGGGAGTACATATTAAGGCCAAAGCACACATTCAGACAGGATGGGGTTTTTTGAGGGTAGGGGTTGAGGGTGGGGGCAAAAACCTTGACATTCAGAAAGGGGTAAAATTTAGGGATGGTGTTTTACTTTTAGATGGAGTGGTCTATTTGTTTTGTATTTATTTCCAACTCCACGTTCTGGATTAGCAACTGAGCTGCTATGCACTTCCCTGCCAATGCCCCTAGGAACAATAGTATTTGATAATTACTGTTATTCTCAGGATGTGCTTGGAGAAAAAGTCAAAAGAGAGGTGGCTGTTCTCTGGCTCCCAAAACTCAAATATACCTGTGAATTAAACAAACTTTAAACAGCTGATGTTAGTACAGAGAACTATTTTGCAATTGTCTGCATCTCCAGCATCTGGGGGGGTGGGGTGGGAAACCCTGCTCCCTATTACAGTTACAGCATGAGTATGGGTGTAGGGAGCATTGGTCAAAAGACATTCCACCTGGAGTACAGGTAGAATCCTTCCTATGAATGGCTTCAATGATATTTAGGATGCATTTCTAAGAATTCATATTAGGAAATTGTGTTTGTTTGTTTGCTTGTTTTATTGGCTGCTTTTCTCCCGATAAGGGGACCCAAGGTGGCTCACAATTTTTAAAAGAACATAATTAAAAATGTAATAAACATTGAGAAATAATTAAACTATATGCTAATTAAAATACAATTGAATAATTAAAAGAAATAACATTAAAAACTATCAAAAGGCACTCAGGGACTCAACCATGAATGTTAAAAGCCTGCTTGAAAAGGTGGACCTTTAGTTGTCCCGTTAAATGGTTGTTGTAGATTTTTCGGGCTTCCGTTAAACTTTGTGCATCTAGCTTCTTACTAATTACCAGTGGGATGTGAGCAGCAAACAAGCTTCTGTAGCATTCATATTCAATAAAAGACATTTTAATTCATTAATTAAAGAAGTAAACCATTTTAAATTCCTCAGGTGTGATATTATATGTTGGCAGAATGATATTATATGTTGGTAGTAGAATGGTGCCGCCAGTAGTATTCTGGTCCCACAGACCAGAAACTGATGGTTCACAATCATTCTTCATTGTAGATTACTTCTTTTGAAAACTATTTTGGATAGGCTATGAAACTATAATAACTACTTACTTTTTTAAAAGTTACTTTTCAAGCTCTGAAACCTACCCACTATGCCAAGGTGTTTTAAATTTGTTCCTTCTGCACAATTGCATTAGAATTATCTTGAAGCAATATAGTAAATTGAACCACAGCTGGCAGTAAGCCCCAAAGTGGCCATTTAAATTTCTCGGTGTTTAGTGGAATAAGAAAAATTGTGAAGTAGGAGGAGAAGGCAGAATATTTTCTTTCTCTTTCAGTACACTCCTTCAGACTGAATAAGCAGAAGTAAGGCCAAACATGCTTTACAAGCTCTGCCATGGATATCCTGGTCAAATCCACTCTAGTCCTTTTTTCCAGTTCAAAAAATGGTCATGAGAACAATGGGCAACAATTATTACCAATCCTTTAACTCTGTTCTTCAAACATGCTTTATAATCTGGTGCTGTGGATATTTACTCAGAAATAAATGGGGTTCAGTGGAGTGTAGGGTTGCACCAAACTTTTGCTTAATGCTGCTACATATCAGGTTCTTTTTTAAGGAATTAGAGCAAAGATGTCAAATTCAATTTCATCTTGGGCCACATCAGCATTATGGTTGCCTTCAAAAGGCCAGTTGTATCTGTGAGATTATATAACTGTATCTATTCTTTATCATATTAAATATAATACTCCACATTAGATTATTACTGTTTTTAGTAATAACATAAGTAATAGCTAGCTCTGAAAGTAAAAGTCTATGATCGAAGTCTAGAAATAATGGCAAGCAGATAAGAATAGGAGTGGGCAATAAATAGCAAGGACTACATTTCCCAAGGTGCTGTACACCGCCCAAACAGCTGCACTTTCTGACTCTTTGTGTTTGGAATGCTGGGATTAGAAATCCCACTGGGCGGATTCCCAGCGTCCTTGTGGAGCATTATGGGTAAGTGAGTAAGCACCTGCATATTGTACACTGCACAGTAGCAGGGAACTCTGCAAAGGCCACATGAAATGGCCAGGCAGGCCAGATTTGGCCCATGGGCCTGGTGTTTGACACATGTGAATTAGAGGCAGAAAAATGAATCTTGCATGAAATATGGTGCATGGGAAGGCTTATCTCTTCACTCTCCAGAAGGATCCAAGCTAATCATGTAAAGCAGGGGTCTCAAACATGCGGCCCAGGGGCCATCTGCAGCCTGCCGGATGATAGTTTGTGGCCCCCGCCTTGTCTGCCCCCCCAAAGCGCCCATGCGTCCTCTGCTGTCAAGAGTCAAAAAAAGCCTCGCCTCACTCAGCTATCTCCCAAGCCAGCGCCTCTTGCACCCTCCATCCAGAACTGCAGCCTGCCAGCTAGCCCACCTGTCTGCCAGTTGGCAGGCTGCAGTTCCGGATGGAGGGTGCAAGAGGTGCTGTCTTGGGGGAGAGCTGGCGAGCAAGGCGCGCTGCTGGCCCTTTTCCCTGAGCGCCCGAGCTGCCACCAAACAATGCCTCAGAGCGGAGCTTGCTCCCGGCCCATCCTCAAAGAGCGCCTCCAAGCCGCCAACAGCAGCTGCCGCTGCCGCCTCTTCCAGGGAAGCAGCTCTCTGGCTCTCTTTCTCTCTCGGTACCCTCAGCACCAGCCCAGCCAGCGGCCGCCTCAGCACCCGGCGGTTCTTCCTCCTCCTCATCCTGCTTCAGCCGTCTAGGCTTGAGGCTGCCTAGGCTCCTCTCGCAGTTTGCTCCTCTGTCATAATGAGGTAGCTGCTGCAGCTGAGTGTGCCTTTTTTTGAAGGGGGCCCTCAGAGGAAGGTTGTCGGACCTCCGTGTGTGCGTGCATGCGCACTGTGGGGGCCCACCCTGTTCTGTTTAATTTCACAGGTACCGATGGGGGCTTTTCTCCTTCGGCAAGGCGATTCTGTGAGGGTTTTTTTTACAAA